AGGTGGAAGACGTTTCCGCTGGCTTGGCGGTAGTGCGGCGTTTGGTATTCAACCTGAATAAACGGTTAGGGTAAAGATTAAAAGGCTTTAAAAAAGGTTGAGGAAATTGAATAACATGGAAAAAGAACGATTGCATCTAGCAAAAAGCTCCCAGGATGTAAGCCGCAAAAATGTAACAACGCCCTAGCACACCAAGTTTTAACATGTTACAAAACAATTAACAGAGTAAAGGTAACCCGTTTTTAACCGCCTCTCGCGTCTCATGAAAATAACGCCTCGAAAAATGATCTTGGCTAGGGGAAATCTCTTTTGCAAGGCGTTTCCGGGTTATTTCAAGGTTTCAAGGGCGATATTTACAGGAGACTCGATAAGACCCGAAAGGGCGTTAATCACGGGTTACCCATAACAAACACCTGATAAACAATTTCCTGAAGCCCCCAAGATCCCGTGTAGGCGTAGTTCCGGGTGCTCGACGGCGGCATGCTCCATTGGGCTTGGTATGCGGGCCGCCTCCAGGTGTTCATTTCGCCCCACGCCGAAGCTGGCGGCGTCCACGAGGGGTTGAGGCTTGAAAACATCCTAGAAAAGGGACACTGGACCGTGCACGATTCACAGAAACAACCACGGAAACACCATTACACTGCACACGTGAAAAAATCATTCCAATTAGGAAAACGTGTTGTTAGTCGTTAACGCATGCTTGTAACGATGTATACGAAAAGGCTTAATATTACAAATATAATGTTAGCAAATCTAAATTAAAAAATTAAATTTTATTACGGTCTTTTTTTCAGTTTTGAGGATTTTTGAAGAGACGTCGACGACCCGCGGCTGACCCTATTCGACCGTAAATTGGCGGCTCCATCGGGCGCCTATCGACGAAATGGCCGGGCGGAGGTTCGAACGGAACATTTTTTTAGTAATAAACAAAATACAAAATTAAAACTGGTTTTTCTAAAAAAAATAGCCTAACTTTATAATAAAAGTATCTACAAGCCCAAAAAACTAGATTTTTCCTTTCTATTATCTGATCCGCCTCTCCTGACCAGCTGACCCCTGTTGCCATGGAGATGCGCAAGCGTAAAGCTGGGCCTCCGTTTTACGGCCATAACGAAGTTAATCCCGAACATGAACGCACAAGTGGTAAGGTTCTCACAGTTTAATCCGTTTAACACAAAATTTAGCGCTCCTCCCTTCCGTACCAAGTCCTCGTCCATATCAATAAGCCGTATGCCGTCTGCTTCTGGGTCGTCCTAGCCGCGTTCTACGTTTATAAAGGTAGTGATAAAAGTTTTAGGTAGTTGGTAAGTTGGATACTTGACGTATATAGGCATTATTTTCAGGATATGTCTTGCCGTACCCAAATCACGTCCGGGTACTCGAATTTCTGATCCTCCTCTTCTTCATCCCGATCGAGGCGGTGCGGTTGAGCTGGGGTAAGTGTTAACAAAAAAACAAAATAACAGTTTGAAGCTGCTCGTGGCAATCTAACGGAAACCCCGGCGTTTGTATCGCTTTCCCTCGGTCTGAGCATCCCGAGTTTATTGATCTGTATTTACTTGGGCATTTTTCAGGTAAAAAAGATAACTAGGAATCTTGCAATTCTATTAACTATTTAGAACTACATCCTGCTCATTGAGGAAGTCTTTATCTGCATCGAGGGTGCACTAATAATCCTTGAAGTGCTTTTCGGCATCATTCTTGTCGCTACACTTTCCAGGTAAACGAAACGAAGAAAGGCGGAAAAGAATCAATTATTTTTCAGGAGCCCAGCAATGGCTTGAGCCAACCCTCTTTACAATATCCGTGGTTTAATTGATAAATATTTGCTCAAAAATATCCAAACATAACTTTTCATAAATTTTCTGCCGAGAGGCTTCGTGTTCTAGAAACATCAATTCCGGACCAACCACAGAAACAACGCCAAGAATTCGCGATAGCGCCCCGGGGACGGAAAAAAACGGTTGTAGGGCCTTGGCTAGCCGTTGAACTGCACGTTTCCCGGGTATTTTGGCACGTCTCTTTCCGGGGAGTTCGTGGAAAATGGCCGGCCAGCAAGGCAGTACTGACCGGCCGCTCTCTCTCTCGAATCCTTCGCGTTTGTTGTGTTTTCCCAGGGCACACTTCCACCCGATGCAATTGTTGTCAACAAATTGGCGGCCATGAAAATGGGCCGTTTGCGGTTGCAGAGTTGTTTTCTTTTTTCTCGGGGTTTCATTGATTGGGAAGGTCACCAGATAATTTTTCTAACTTTCCAACGTCCTGAAAACTTGTTTGTTTTCGCCTAATCTGCCAATCTATAGTTTCTGTTGTAAATTATCCATTTTCCACTTTTTTGGCCGAATCTTTTCTAAAATAAGTTTTTCCCGTTCTAATGTTAGAAGAAACTTTTAAAATGTTGATTTAACACAACATTTTGAATTTTTAAACCTTCACGATCAGGTATATGTGTAGTTTCTGTTCTTCGAAATTGCCCAGCGTCGCGTCTTGAATATATTCTTTTTCGTTCAGGTAAGGACCTAACGAACTAATCAGAAGCATGCGAATTTCGGCAATCAACTTAGGTAACTTTTTATTTAGTTTTGAATCACCATTTTTAGCCCGTTACCGCCTCGTCGTCGTTGGCGGCGGAGCTGGCGGGCTCGGAGCAGCATCAAAGTTCGCTCGTAAGCTCCCGAAAAATTCGATCGCCATCGTTGAGCCCAGCGAGGTATGCATCTACTCTTTATATCGTTAAAATTTGTTTTGTAGTTCCACTACTACCAGCCTGGCTTTACGTTCGTTGGCTCCGGCGAATTGAAGCTGACTGATAATACGAGGAGCGAGGTATTTAAAAGTTTTTTTTGCCAAAAATTTATTGCTTTTAGATCGACCTAATCCCTTCCAACACTAAATGGTATAAAAATGCGGCCAAGTCTTTGAACCCGGAGCAGAATACGGTTTTATTAGAGTAAGTTGGGTTTTGTTGAAATTTAATGGAAGTTTTTAGAAATGGTGAAAGCCTAACTTACGATTATTTGATTGTAGCGACAGGGATTCGACCGCGTTATGATTTGGTATGTCAAAAACTATCTTATTAACGTTTTTTTTTTCAGATAAAAGGATTGCCGGAAGCGCTATCGATGGAGGGCAGCGGTGTGTGCAGCATTTATCTACCGCATTTTGCAGAGAAAACTAACCGGGAAATTGAGGCTTTCAAGGTATCGTACATCTGACTTCTAAAGGAATTTTAGGGTGGTAAAGCGCTGTTTACTTTCCCGGCCGGCCCGATAAAGTGTGCGGGCGCGCCGCAGAAAATTATGTATCTTGCTGACGAGATTTTCCGGTAACTTTTGGCCTTTGTTAAGTTAAAAATGTTTTAAGGAATCGCGATATTCGTGGAAAGGCTGAGCTTCACTATTATACCTCGTTGCCAAAGGTATGGAAGTATAAGATTGATTAATTTTGTGTTTATCCAGATTTTCGGAGTGGAAAAATATGCCGTAGCGTTACAAAAGGTCGTTGATGCAAAGGATATCCGGTTGCACCCAAGGAGAGTGTTGAAAGAAGTTCGACTGGATAAAAAGGTGCTTTTTTGCTGATTTTGCGTAATTGTTTGTATGGTTTTAGACCGCCGTTTTTGATATTTTCAATGAAGAGGGGAAGCCGAGTGGTGAAACTGAAGAGAGCGAGGTATTTAGATTCAAGTTTAAAAGTTATGGCGTTTTTGAGTATTCCTTCCTTCACGTCGGCCCACCATGCCGCCCGGTGCCTGCGGTCAGCGACTGTAAAGCCCTGGTTGACGCCACTGGCTTTGTTGATGTCGATCCGAATACGTTACAAGTATATAGAGCTCGAGACATTTTATTAAGCCTTTTTTAGTCTCGTCGCTTTGCCAATGTGTTTGCTGTCGGCGACACGGCCAACACACCGAATGCCAAGACAGCCGCCGCAGTTTGTAAGTGTTTTGATGAAGCTTGAGGCAATCCCTCTTTTTAGCCGGGCAACTTGGCGCGCTGGAGAAGAATCTGAAGGCGGTGATGGCTGGCAAGCCGCTGACCGGAAGTGTAAGTTTATTTTTACGTAGTTTTCCCAATTTTCCCAATTTGGAATATATGAAAATTCCATTTTCCATTGATTCCATTCAATTCCGATTTTTAGAAAATTGCTAACATTGAGAGGCTTACTTGAAATAAAAAGGAATTTTGGTAAAAACTTTAAAAACACTAGATATTCATCACGGCGTATATTTGGACTTCAAGAAAGAAATTAGCCTCCTCCCAGTAATGCAAATTATTTTTTTAGTACGATGGCTATGCGTCCTGCCCGTTGCTCGTCGGAGGGAAGAAGGTCATCCTCGCCGAGTTCACTCCGAAAGGTTGAAAATCCATGTTAAAAGATTTGAAATTGTAAATTTTAGGTCCTCTCGAAACGCTCCCCCTCAATCAAGCGGTCCCGCGCGGAATCTCGTACTTTATGAAGCGTCATATCATGCAGCCGCTGTACTGGCATTGTTTGGTGAAGGTAGTGTATTTTTAAAAAATGGAAATATGGATTTTTAGGGTATCTGGAACGGCCCAACGACTATTCGAAAGATTCTCCACTTTGGGCGCTCGGAATAGAATTTTTTAGATTACTTATACATTATACTTTGTACACCTTATAATATTGCCAAATCTGTGATTTCAAACAATTTGTGAATTTTTATGCGTGAACAACAATTCTGTGATTCATTGGATTCATTGATGCGTACGTGCAGAATAAATAAGTTTAAAACGAAATAAAGCGTAGATAAATGGATAAAGCCATCAAGGTATACCGTATCACAAGCTGGGCGGATCACAACAAAAAGCGGAAGTAAATGCAAATTTTAAAAGCGGTTTTAGGCGGTAAATTGAACATAGAAGTATACCCGATTTTTGGTAAAGACAAACACGGCTTAAGCGAATTTTAACTAGGCGTCAATAGGAAGGGTTTGTAGGTAGATAGGATTGTCGTGGAAACCGGCTTATTTCTCATTAGTAGGTGGTTTGCTTTCGATAGAAGATGAAGGCAATGATGGCGCCGATGGAGATTGTGGCCAGGAATGTTGAAGCCGAGATTAGCACTCCGAATGCGCCTATGGACAGGCACAGCTCGGAGGGGGCCACGGCGGGTGGGGGTAAGGCCCAGGCGGATGGCGCTGGAATTTTGAGGATAATTCATGAATTTTGACCAATTTTTGTCGTTGTAAAAGCCTAGAAATATTGATGGTAGTTTCAATTGAATTATTTGATTTTTGTTTAACTGAATTACGGAAAAATTCTTATTTTCACATGATTTTTAGTACCCTTTTGGAGATTTAGTAGACGTATTTCGCGCAATAAGTTCTCTTATTTCAATGGATTTTCTCTAATAATAATTTTATATATTTTAGCGAAAGAGTGACGTTTAAAAAGCTAAATTACACGATATTTTTTATAGGAAGAAAAGGATAAGCTACTAATATTCGGGCTGGAAGTTACAAATTAAGGTTGAGTATCGACTTTAAATGACCTTAAAAATTTAAGTTTTCAATTTTTAAAACTTTTTCATTTTAAACTTTCGTAAAAAAGTTTCAACCAAAATTAAAGTCGATAAAAACTCACAAGTCCGGTCCATATTGTTGTCAATGTCAACCACCGTCAACGTTGGGGAGTGTAACGTCCATTCCGGGGTTCGACGCGTAGAATTTGTAGTCTGGCGCCGGACTCTGCTTACAGAAGTACCGCCGCAGACTGGGGGCTGAAATTTGGATTCTAAACTATACAAAGTTTTTGACTAAGATTAAAACGTTTAAAATTTTCATATCTAGCATACCGTAAGCCCGTCGCAGCTGTTGTCCGTATGTGTGCACAGTGACATGCTGCACTGGAAGTCGAGCGTCTCCCGGTCGGGGAATTTGAAGACGAACGCGTCGACCTGGGCGAGGAGGGATGAGGAGGAGTAGGTGGGGTTTGGGATGACGTCAGTGTCGACAGAGCATCTGAAAATGGTAATTGGACCGCGGAATCGGCCAAACTATGTTTCACTACCCCTTTAAAATCGTTTTTCTTACCCTTTCTCATCGATCAACAACTGGCGATCGCCCTTTCCGTCTTCGACGTAGCACGAATGGACGTGGAGCCCGAACATGTCTAAATGGATTTGAAAGATTTGGTCTTGACTACACTAGATTCCTCTTTACGGTTGGATTTCGTGCGCTTAATGCTGTTTTGCATGTTTGCGAATTCCGGTATTCCTACGCGAGGTTCTTCTATACGCTCGGATTAGGTGATTTCGGCTTTTCATCGAGCCAAAATTACGCTATGCTCCAGTTTACCCCTGCCTCTCTTTACCTAAGTGTTCCGCCAGGCTCCCATTTACACGACACTACGCGTGTGTCCTCTGTACACCCATTTTATCTGCTTCATGCTTTTCCTCTCGTTATGCTCCGCTACGCAAGATTCCGCTGTACGGAATGTGATCGCATGGAATTCATGATTTTTGCGCCAGGAGCCAAATTACGCGAGATTACCCCTTGTTACTGGCCTCTCTGGAGTTACGGCTATTTCGCTCAGCTTCTAAAACTGCCAAAAATGACTTGCGCTATAAGTCCGATTTTCGACTACGCGGCAGTCGAATTTAGAACAATCTGGACGCGTGTGCTCTTGCAAACTAACCTGTTAATGGCGTGTCGCAACTCCACTCGTGCCGGACAACATCTCCCACTTGGACATTCGTATTTCGGATTTCCACACCGTCAGCGGTTTTCAAACGGTATCGACATTGCGGGGGTGGAACTTGGCCAGGCAAGTCTTCTGCCGGTGGGTTACTGTAAGCCGGAAAACATAATGAAGATTTTTGTATACTGTACCTGACATCGATGCTTGTCTCGACAGTCTTATTTGATTCCTGATAGGCGCATCGGATATGATAGGCACGATCGAGCTTGGTGATGAAGCTCTCGTGGAAGGAGATGACCGCCACGAACGAGACGTACACGCCGGGAGGGGTTACCTGAAAAGAGAAGTACTGATCGCTGCTTCTCTCTCGCTCCCTCTCTCTCTCGCTCTCTCTCTGTTTCTCTCCCTCTTTCTCTCTCTCTTTCTCTCGCTTTCTAACTCACCACTCGATCTCTTTTCGCTCTGCACTCCCCAAGCGGCACCTGGAGGCTCACGGAGTTTTGGGCCTAAAACGATTTTTCATTCTTTTCTTTGGATTTTCACAGACTAGATAAAACTTTAATTCTTAAATTAAATTGCTATAAACAGACCTGTCTCCGCCCCCTCGAGCTATGTTCATCTTCTTGCTCACAAGCCGCACATGGTGCGCAGGTTGTCGGGCATTGCGAGGGGAAGATCTGAAAGTAGTTAAATTTCTATAAATTTAGACTTCTTAGCCCCTTTAGAAATTTCTCGAACTGCTTGCCCACCTTTCCTTGGGCATCTCCAGCCAGGGGGTTCAAGAATTGAGCAGCTGATGTTGCTAAAAAGCGATTAAACAATTGAATTTTTGAGACTTACGTGGAGCTCGAGTGCTTTGGGCCCATTCGTGATCAGCACTGTCGATTTCGTTAGGGTTAGAAGCACCGATTCCACTTCCCGACGATCCTGATCCCGAGCTTCCGGATCCAGAGCTTCCATCTGACCAGATGACGCCTCCGGAACTCCCGGAGTTTCCGGATCCTCCCGCTGGGCCGTTTTGAGTATTCCGTTCAAACCCATGACCAGCTCCTCCTCCTCCTCCTCCGTTAGATCCACTTTCGGCTCGATTTCCTGATCCGGAACGAGTTCCGGAATTGCTTGAACTGCTACCGGAAGCGGAACCACCAGTAAATCCGCTTCCGGAACCGCTTGAACTGCTTCCCCCGTGATCAGCTCCTCCTCCCCCTCTCAAAAATCCTCCGGAATTTCGATCGAACCCTCCATTTGATCCCGAATTTCCGGAATTTCCGGAACCAAAACTGCCGCCGTGAGCGCTTCCGGAAGCGCCATTGAATTGACCGCCAGATCCGGCATTATTTGCGGCGTTTCCGGAGCCAAATCCAGATCCGAAATTTCCGTTTTGACCTCCACCAGCTTGTTCGCCTCCGAATTCTGGTCCAGAATTTCCGTTGGAGCCACTTCCGCCAGAGTTTCCGGACCCAAATCCGCCTCCGGATTGTCGAGATTGTCCTCCCCCGGTATGTCCGCCTGATCCGGATTGTCCGGCTTGACCTCCTTCAGCATGTCCGGCGCCAAATCCAGCGCCAGAATTCGAAGTATGACCTCCTCCAGCTCCTCCACCTGGAATTTTCATCCCAGGTGGTCCAGTCGCGATTCCTGGTGGTTGGGCCGAGGTGCCGAGATCAGATCTGCGGCTCAAGTTCGAGGAGTTCGGGAGGTCTTGGCCGAAAATATGGAGTCGGGGGCCGTTCGGGTCGGGTTGGGGGTTGAACGTGGTGGCCTCGCCGGGCGGGACTTCACCACTTTCGACCTGAGAAATATGGAATAAAGTATTTCGTTTGCTCTCGCTCTCGCTCTCTCTCTCTCTCGCTCTCTCTCTCTCTCTCTCTCTCTCTTTCTCGCTCTCTCTCTCTCTCCCACCTGTCCACTAGCACCGGCAAATCCTCCATGCGGTGTCGTCGTCGGCTCAAAAAATCCGGCACCCCTGGGCCCACCACTATTTTGACCCTCAGCCTCTCGCTGTGGATTCGCGCCGTCCAGAGGAATCTCACGTCCGTCCGGTCCAATTATCCGGCCTGCAGATATTCGTCCCGAGGTGTCAAAGGCGTTGTTGTTGTTTTTGGAGCCTCCCGTAGTGCCTGGAATTGGGTATCGTTTCGTAATGCACTAATTTTGGCACGAGTTCGGACTTTGCGGATTCTTGGAAAGGACATGCAAGGCCAACAAAATCCATATCCATGCCTTGCCCAGCCCCTTCTACCGCCAAAAACTCACCCCCATCCTGCACCACCCGTCCCTGATTGTAGGTTCTTGAGCAGTGGACATTCGTGTACTCGCCCTTGACGAATACCTATAAGTGGATGCGGTTACGGTAGCTGGGGCAGGCAATAGGTTTTGATAAGAAGCGACCCTTCAATCTAGGCTGTATTGAATGTAGGGATGGCCTCGAGAGGAGAGAGAGAGCGAGAGAGAGAGAGAGAGAGAGAGAGAGAGAGAGAGAGAGAGAGAGAACAACAATACGCGATTCGAGAAGGCAAAACATTTGTTTTGTTTAATAGGTTGAGGCAGCCGGGAGTGGCGAGGGAGACAAGGTCACTTTTTACGGGGATCTGGAGTATTGGGTCCGTTTGTCTCTCTCTCTCTTTCTCTCGCTCTCTCTCCATCTCTGCTCTCTCTCCCTCCATCTCTGCTCTCTCTCTCTCTCTCTCTCTCTGTCTTTCTCTAACAATATTAAAAAGTCCTGACCTTGCCCCGAAACGGCTTCTCGGTCTGCACCTCGAACTTGATGTAATCCCGTTCGCATGTGATTTGCGGTAAACCTGAAGTTGATAATTAAAGGGATTTCGCAACGGTAGGTTATTGTAGCAATAAATTACGATAGAAAATTCCAATTATGCGCCGATTCGAGGTGTAACATCACTTACCGATGACCGAGTTGTGGATGTCGGAAAATGCGGCCGCCGTCCGCAGCAGAAGCAACAGCTGGAAAAATGGCTTAAAAATTCCGTGACGTCAAGAGTTTCGCGTCACGTAGTTGTTGAGACCTAGTCCACGCACAGGGTGATTATAACTCTTTCTAGTCCCTTTAAAAGCTGAACTAGATTCTAAAATCTCGATCTCCAAATTTCCAATCCCTCCTTCCGGTTCGATCTCGACCCCCCCTCCCCCCCCCCTCAAGGTCAAGAGTTCGCGGTGGCCCATAAAAGTATGTGGGGAGACTAGAATCCCCTCCCAGGACTCGGGACACCGGCCAGAATTGGGTCAACTTTTCCGCGGGGTGCAAAAGTACGCGTCGAACCGATGCACCAAGTACGATGTCGAGGGGATTGATGCTTGAAGCACTGGGCTGGAAGCTTGTTGCATGGGTTGTTGCCATCCTTATAACGAGAGAGGAGAGAGGAGAGAGAGAAAGCGATGCTTTTGCGTATAATTATCCCGGTGGCTGCTTGAGGTATTTCCAAGTGGCGGATGGGTTTTTATTACGGTGTCGGGGGATCTTTGAGCTTCTGGCAAGATGGCAGTCCGGAAAAGGAGATGGTGCTTCGCGAAGAGGAGCCTAACCTTAAGCCTAGCCTGAGCCTAACCCTAACCTTAAGCCTAAGCCTATCCATAAGCCTAAGCCTTAGCCTGAGACTGAGCCTGAGCCTGAGCCTAAGCCTCAGCAGACGCCTAAGCCTAAGCCTAAACCCAAACCTAAGCCTAATCATCGCCTATTTCCAAATCCCCAAAACTTCCATCCCAAAAAAGGTGTCAATTGGCCAGTCTCGGATCCATTTTCAGCCTCTCTCCCTACAGGAATAATTTCCTATTTGTCCATGAGGCACGAATCTGTTCTTCTCGCTGTCCACTCCAATCCTATCCACACATCTTCTTCCGCCCAGCTGCCCATGCTCACTGTAGAAATGGGCAGCTAATTGCCCCATCCCCTGTTCGTCGGTCCGCCAAATTGTCGTTCTCTCTCCCTCTCTCTCTCTCTCTCTCTCTCTCTCTCTCTCTCTCTCTCTCTCTCTCTCTCTCTCTCGCCGACAAATGTCGAAAAGACAGGTGGACCACCCGCACCTGCCCACCCATGCCACCACACACAAAATGAATCATTTTCAACGCTCGCTCGCGCCCACCCATTTGACCCGGATGCCAATTTTGGAATTAGGCGCGCCTCGTAGGAGTCGAATCGAGCGCAAAAAATCGTTTTAAAGGGTCTGGAAAAGCAAAGGATTGGCGGGCTGGTAGTTAAATTCCCGAAATAGCGTATTTCAAGGGGCCCGGAAGCCAGACAAAATTAGATTAGATTTTAAGTGCCTTTAAAGGGAGTGAGACGCCAATTTGCCAAGCAAAAAAATGCATAAAATGACTTACCGTAACTGTCCTCATCCCGCCGAGCCGAGCAGCCCCAATAAAAGGGGATAGCGTGGGGAAATTATGGCGAATTTTTTGAGTGGCTGAAACGTAAACTATAAATTTACAGAAAAATAATTTCAGAAAAATGAAGAAGGTGGAATAAAGTATATAAAGAAAATAAGTTTTAAGTTCCTGGAAATGTAAATATTTCATAGAGCGAGAGATAGAGAGACAGAGAAAGAGCGATAGAGAGAGAGCGAGAGAACGAGAGAGAGCGAGAAAACAAAAGAGAGAGAGCCAGAGAGAGCCAGAGAGAGCCAGAGAGAGAGCGAGAGAGTGAGAGAGAGAGAGCGAGAGAGAGAGAGAGAGAGAGAGAGAGAGAGAGGGAGAGAGAGCGAGAGAGACAAGTCAGGGATAATTTGACCTCTTGATCCGATAATATCGAATTAAGGCCCCTCCAAGGACCTCCCGAGTTCTTTAAAGGCCCATTAAAACCAAAGATCCAAATTAGCAGCCACTAAAAGCCAAGGAAAGTCCATTCAGCCCAAATTTGGGGCACTCCCCGAACCGTACGGAATTCCGTCCGGGAGGTGTAAATGGGAGCGAAACGGAGTGCTGAGCATCCGCCAAAGGGGCATGCGCCAAATTTGAATAGAGGCTGTGGGGACTGGTGTGGAAAAGTAGGTAGTCCAAATAGTCCGTGAGAGCCATAGATGACGACCATTTTGAAGGGAAATCGCAAATATTCAGATGGCCCGGTTTAGCGAGAGAGAGAGAGAGAGAGAGAGAGAGAGAGCGAGAGCGTGAGAGATAGAGAGAGACGAAATGAATTGTATTCTGCTCCAGGTGTAAATATCTCATCGAAACATCCAAGTTCAGCTGGTTCCGGCCGTTCGTTCCAGAACATTTTGTGAAAGAGAGAGCGAGAGAGGGAAAAGGAGAAAGAGCGAGAGAAAGTAAGGGAGCGAGAGCAAGAGATAACAAGATAAACGCTAGAATAACTGTGGATCAAAAAATTATCTGAAAGACCAGGGAAACAGAGAGGGCGAGAGAGAGAGAGAGAGAGAGAGAGGCAGAGACAGAGACAGAGAAAGCAGGATTCAGCAAGATTTGAAAGTCAAAAACCGCTACCTCCTGAAAAGACACCGTCAGAGCCTAATCCTACTCAGGTAAAGCCGCCCTTCCCCCCACACTTTCATAACCGGCGGGGGCGCGTAAGCGCGTCTATTCGAATTGGATGGAAAGGAGATGGGCATTGTCCGGTCCCTTTAGGTGGAATGGGGTAGGACAGTAAAATGACCACTGGACCAGGTAGCGGAGAGAGAGAGACGCGACATGGACTCTTACTTCCAGAAAAGACACCTCATCTACCCTTTCTGCCGGATCCGGACCGGACGTGGCTATTACAGCTCTTCTGAGGAGCCACCTAGCTAAGCTAACTGGGATTGAGGGCGGTGGCAGAACGCGATGGTTATGGGAAAAGGAAAATCCTAAGCTTTTGAAGGAGTGAAATTTTGGTGTCTGGAAAGTTGCGAGAGGGTTGGGCCTAGGTGTGTTCTTAGACTTGGGCTTCTGCTTAGGCTTCGACTTAGATTGTGCTCAGTCTGGAGCAGCGCTTAGCGATTAAATCAATTCTCAGA